TTCTGGGAAGTAAGAACGATGACCAGAGCTTCTACTGTCAAAGTTAAAGAAAACCCCCCAGGCACGCACACCAAGCTGCACCCCCGATGCCCGGCACGTCAGCCCGGTGCGAGCGATGTCCGCCGGAGCGGCCCGGTGCGGCATCGCCCGCAGCCGCGGGATGCGGAAGGCTCGGAGCCCCCTCCCCGGCGCCGCCGCTGCCCTCGCCCCCTCCCCAGCCCCGCAGCCGGGGCTCCCCTGGCGGGGCCGGGCCTCGCTCCGCACTCACCGCCGCGGCTGCGGGCCCTCGCTCGGGGCGCGTCGTTCGGCCGCGGCCGCGCGGCGATGGCGGAGCGGGGGGCGAGGCGGCGGCTCTCGCTCCGCGGGAGGCTCTGGGCGGCCGCAGCGCCGGGGCCGTGACGCAGCCGCCGCCTGGCTGAGGCAGCTCTGGAGGAGCAGCAGCACAAAGGGGCCCCGCGGGGACGAGCGGGCGGCGGCTCCCCCCAGCCGGCGATGGCGCAGCGGCAGCAGGTGGAGGGGGCGGYGGCCGAGGGGGCGGGCGGGACGCGCCGCCCTCAGCGCCCCTCCCCGGGCGGGGCCGCGCCGTGAGGGGCGGTGGCGGTGGCCGTGTCTGTGGCTGTGCCCTGCGCTAACGGGGCTGAGGAGCTGCCGTCCTGTCCCGCACGGCGCTGCCTGTGCCTGGCACGGCGAGCCCCGTTAGCCCCGGTGAGGGCAGCGGCGGGAGCTCGGGCGGGGAACTGCGCTAAGCGAGGCGGCGGTGAGGGGACCCGGCCTCGCCTTCCCCGCCTTCCCCCGGCGAGCTCGCCCGCTCTGCTCCCTCCGGTCGTTGCTGCGGGGAAGGGACGAGCGTGCGGTCAGTGCGGGGAGAGCCCGGCCCCGTGCCCGCTCTGCGCAGCGGGGAGATGCGAACGCTGGAGCCGCGTCACTCCGGGGCAAAGGCGTATTGCGGAGCCCTGCAGCCGASAGGGAGAGGACATCTTACAGCTCGGCTGGCTCGGGGCGGAAAAAAACCAGAGTGATTCATATTCACTGCGCTGTCTGCTATAACCCAAGGCAACCAGCATGCTCRTCTTGTAGTCTTGCAGGTGCATTGCTTCCCAGCCAGTGGAGGGGAAAGCGCTGTGGGCGATGCAACAAGTGACTGGGATGGCAGGCAGCTCCGAGAGAGGAGGCAGACAGGTGCTCAGCCTCGAGCCAGTTTCATGCTTCAAAACCAACCAGCCTCTTCTCACAGATGCCAGCGTGAGCAGCCCCTCTGCGTGGCTTGTTCCTCTTGCCCAATCCAGCATGCTCTCGTTTTCCTGAGGTCGATGGTCTGTAATGCTAGAGGCCCTTTCTGGCTGTGGCACAAAGCAATTCGTGTCTCCAGCAATGGATCATCCTGTCTATCTCATTTATTTCTCACATCAGTGTTCTGTCCTGAGTAAATAAAGTGTAAAATAAGCTTGTCYTACCTGAGTAACATTTCATAAATCATACTTGCGTGTGTTAAGTAGAAGAAAAAGGGTTTCATTTTCTATAGAAAATTGCACCTGTGACTGGAAATGAAGGGGTTTCTCAGAAAACAAGAAACACTTGAATTATTTAATTTTGGCAAAGCCCTTGTCTTACAAGTGTTCTTGAACAGAACAGATGAATAACACACAGATGGATGAGTGTAATCTATTCATTTGTGTGTGAAGCCAAAGTCATCCAGAATCCAAATGACATCAARAGTCCAAGGGATGATCAGAAGTGCATTTGACAGTATACTACAGGGAGCCAAAATAACACAGCAAGTGGTTTAACAAATTGACTGACTAGTTCCTTTCATCTCCACCTTCTGTGATTTTATATTTGAGTCCTTTTGGCTGAAGATGGTCAAAAGCTTTGGGCAATTGTGTATTAAGTGTGTGCCTGAGGAAGTGTCAGTATTGGATTAAGATGAATGGGTAAATTCCCCAGTTGACTGGTGAAACTTTTTTTTTTAGTTATGTGTACACATGCATAGGTTACTGTCTGTTGTAGAGAAAAGGAGTAATTTGGATAGCCTGTTTACAGAGTAAGTTATTCTCTTTGCCACTGTGCACGTSTTTAATGGTATCTGCCTTTTAGGAACTTATGATAACTAATCTTACCTGGTTCTCTATTCTTACAGAAAAATTCTTTTTGTTAAGTGGCTGGATACTGCACTTGTTGCCACTCAGTATTTACACCACCCAGTTGCTTATACTTTTTTCCTTTTAAGTGCATTTCACCCCATGTACTATGATGCAAAAGGGAAAAAAAAAAAAAAGCTGTTTGTGTGTATATACACGCACATACAGAAATAACTGATTAATATATTTATTTGCCAGGTATGTAAAATGAGCAGTTAAGAGCTTTAATTTCTGATATCAAATAGYCAACTACAGTTTTCTACTGATGGTTTTAGAAGAAAGAAATTAAGTAACTTAGTRACAAAACTGGCATGATTCCTAGTCAGAAGTTGCTGCCTTAACAAAGCAAAAAGGTGTATATTAACATAGACATTATATGAAAATAAATTGACTCTTATAAACTAGCACACCTCTTTTCTCCGGAACTCCTGCTGTGGGTAATTTTTCTATGGTTATTAAAGGGGTTTTAAATTTGGGGAAGGAACTGTCCTCTATCTTCTGCAAAGCAACTCAAGTTCCAGGTGCTTAACAAATCACACACATCCTTGCTGAGCCACTGAAATATCGTGGGCAGCAATCTTTATGTCATGTTAGTTATCTCTGAGGAAACAKGATGGCTCCTTGTGGGTGTGTGGGTAACAGAAAAAGCAGCCAACACAGAGAATTGATGACCTAGTGGCTACTCTCATTAAGTCAGATTGTACCCTGATTTACCTCCTCTGAAATTTTAATGGTCTCAGTGAGGTTAGAATTCAGTACCATCAGCCTTACTATGAAAGCAGAAAATTTGCACTGCCATCAAGCAGATGTACTACTTCCCAATGAACTAACTAACGGAGGGGGGAAAAAAAAAAAGGAGGTGATGTGAAGCTTGTGTTTGCTAGCATGTTTGCTAGCACTTGGTCTAGGAATTGGTACAGAGGTCTTTCTTAAATAAGAGTACCACCATGTCTCACAAAAGCTGGAGAAAGACCAATTACATGGGACAGCCTACATTTTCACCTAAACCAAGAACACTTGCCAAGCCCTCATTTTGAAGTAGAAACATGAAGAATAAAGTTACACAATCTCTACATATGGAAATGAAGGAAATGTTGTAAACTAGTAAGTTCCATAGGGCTGGACTTCTGATTCATCACAGGCAAAAGCTCTAGAAATTTCAGGACTTTTTTTCCTGCAGCATAGTTTTTTTTCTAAAAATGAGGCCAAAATTGTGACAGCTCATCTATTATTTGTGATTTGATGATGCTTTATTCAGGTTGGCCACATTTCTTTGTGRGTTGTAGTTTACTGACACAATCGACTGAAATAACTCTTCTGGAGCCATTACAATTTGTTGTGTTGGTGCAGCTGAAAACACTTCAGCGTGCCATGTGTCACGCTTTGTCGAGTTAACAGYTGATGTTTCCAAATCAGGATTAGGAACAGTGCTGATGCAGTGCAATGCTGCAATTGCTTGTGCAACATAAGCATTTGTGAAAGGGAGCAAACTGCTGAAGGAAAGCAGCGCTACCTATTGTTGTTTGTCAGGTGTCCCAGCAGTTTATTTACCCTAAAGCATCCTTTGGTGTCTGAGGCTACTCACAAATACCAAAAAAGAGGAGCATTGTCACCAATCTGTTTTAGGAAGCCAATAATCTCCAGAAATCACATTAAACTCTCAGTCAGCAATATGGGAACTTGGAGTAAGTGATGCACCAAAGGAGAGGCAGGAAATGCATGGTGAAGCCGGCCAGCCATTGCATGGCTCTGAGCACATGACACAGCCAGGAGTTCACCTCACCTGGCAGTGCAAAGTTTAAATAGTGCCTTTAGTTCTCTCTCTGCCCAGAAAATCCAGACTGGGAGAGCAGTGAAGCTGAAACATAACTTTTTCTTTAGGATTTTATTATATGTGAGACACTCATGTGTGAACAACTCTAGAATTGTGACGTTCATACTGAAATGGGTAAGGGATAAATGAATATTGAACCTGTGTGTGAAAGAAAATGATACCTTGATGACAAAAAATAGCACTATGAAAAAAATAGTGATTTTCATTTACTGCCAGGTTTGGAGAGCTGTCAAATGAAAATAAAGGTATTGATACTGAAGAAGGCACATCTGTTATTTCCAAAATTACTGAGAATGATGAGGTTGAATTATTCTTTGGGGAAAAATGAGAAATGCTCACTGGAAAGCTGTGAAATTCTTTAAAGCATCAAACCATTTTTCAAGTCTGGCATCCTTAGGTTTATCATCCTGAATTCATACATAGACATATAAATAAGATTTTTTTTCAGAAAGAATGTAGTGCACACATTGGAATAATGCTGAGACAGAGGAAGTTCTAAGCATTCAGATTCTYGAGAGCAGCATTTCTCAAATGGTGATGGAAGCACTGGTGATACACCCACATAAAATCCAGGGCAGTAAAAGCCAGAAGGGCTGCTCTGAGAATCAGTGCTCTGAGCTCACAGGTGCAGCAGAAGGRATAAATTGTGCTGCAAGGCAGATTATGTCCTGTGCCTCCTCACACCATCTGTAGGCCTGCAGGTTCATCTCCTGGTGACGACAAGGTGCCAAAATRCAGCAGGGAGAGGAGTGCTCTGGGTCTGGGGGAGAAAGGGACAGGAGAATCAGTACAGATGGATGATTTGTTCTCCAGGCCTCCTGGAGAACAAAATAACAAATAACAAAATAAATTTGTTATTCCAAATATCAGACCCACCACTTTGCTAAGCTGGGGCAGAAAAGTGACAGTCAGGAGGAGGAGGCAAATCTCTGTCTGGCAGAGAGATTTGGGGAGACAGCAGTGATGGGATATACTTAAAGGCAAGGAAGCACAGCTTTAGGGGTAAAGTGAGGTTGATCTTGTACTGATCTCCTCCCAGGTTAATCCTGCTTATGATTTAAACAGTCATTTAAATGGCTAAAGTTACCTGATTTAGAGAAGCACGATAATGTTTTGGCTATTATACAAATGGATTTCAAACAGTATCTAAGTAACACAAGGTCATGTAGCTATCCAAAACAATCCTCTATTAATTTAGAGCATGAATTTAAAGGATAAGATCAATTTCAACAGAAGTAGGACTTAACCACTAAACCATTTTATAAAAAATAGTGCACAAACAAACATTTCACCAGGAATGCTAGAATGTGATCCTAGACTTCTCTTTGG